ATAAAAATTCATTGATAGTTATCTGAAATTTCGGAATGATCTACATTTTTGATGAGTATAGATGACCTGCACCATACGCATAATATTTGTACCCATTTTCCTGATGTGTGCCTTACTGCGCCTCGTAGCCAATTTTGGGAAAAATCATCAAATCTCAGAATTGTAGCATGGTGGAAATTTGATTTTATTGGTTGTGAAATATGACAAAATCAAGTGTGTGATCATTGCTAAAATAGAAATTTCAGCCGATCTCTAAAACCAAAAATTTCACGTGTTTCACTCTTTAATAATAATATCCAAAAGGAAGAACTATTTTTAATTCTAATTAGACTCTCAAGTCTATTTATTTATCAACCTCAGTTATTAAAAAATTATAAATAAGAAAGAAATTCCCATAAAAATTTAATTAAAAATAAAATCTATTGACTTATTAACTATTAACTATTATAACCACATTCACTATTAACTATTAACTATTATTATAACTGTTTACTATTAACTATAACCATTAACTATTAACCATTGTCTATTCAATATTTACTATATATTATATATTATATACTACTTAATAAAAATAAAATTTTAATCCTTCAAATTTTATATTTACATTCACTGATTAAATTCTAACAATGATGTGTGGGAATAAAAACTCTGGTCCTTGTGCAATCAAGAATTGTGATAATAATGATAAAAATCCTGAAGATGTTAACTTCAGAACTATAACAGACAATGCATTTAAAAAGATAAGAGAACACTAAGACTATGAAAGCATGAATTATTTAAGATTAAATGAACAACTTTGTGCTAATCACTACATGAAGTATGTAGTATATTATAAATGTAGGAAATTGAATGTTGATGAAATCAATGAAAATTCTTCAAATAATATCAAGATTAATGTCACAGAAAATGGAGTTTTTTCATCCAGAGAAGATTTTGGTTTATTAATGCAAAAAAATTGAAAATTTGGAAATGAAAATCGAAGAAAAAAATAAAGAAATTGAAAACATGTTTGATGCAAATAATGTTTTTTTAACAGTCCAGAATAACTTAGAAAAAAGTAATTTGACATTTGCAGATAAAATTGAACTATTAACAAATGTACTTCTCAAACAACAATTGGATCAAATGAGACAATGGAATTGGACCCTATAAACTTTTGCAAATTAATTGATGAATTAGAAAAAATAATTCCTGAAAGACACACACATTCAAATAAGGAGTCTGCCAAAAAATCTATTGTTGGCTTTTGTTATCTTTTAGCTGGCATAAGAAATAAATTTGTAAATAATTTTAAATTAGACCTTGGACTCTATTTAGAAGCAAATGGAACTAGTGCTGCTGCACTTGACACCTTATCAAATGCAAATATCTCAGCTTGTTATAAAACAATCCAAACTTACAAAAAGAAAGTTGCTGAAAATCATCAAAAAATAATAGAAGAGTATTTTTTTTACAACATTCAATATATGCATTGTTTTAATATTGATGATTACCATTCAATTCATGAGTGGAGAAGACCTGATTCCACATCGTTATCTTCAGCAATGCATGTGGCAACATGTGTTGTCAAAAAAATCAAAAATATTCCTGTGGTTCCTGCAAATTTTGAAAATGTACTATAGTGCAAGTCACTTAATCGCTGAACTTTTTATTGGCTGTGTAGATCCTATATCCTCTCCAAAAATGGAAATGTATGACCAAAAAAACAAATCA